ACATTGTTAGTTTTGTATTTGATCTTATATATGTCAATTGGTAAGCCAAATACTACGATTATTGAAAATTTGTGATCAAATTTTCTGTTTTCTAATTTTTTATTCATAATAGTTAATTTACAATAGTTGGATATATATAAAAGAAAATTAAAGAGAGTTTTAATAGAAAACTAAATACAAATCAGTCCCATAAAAGGAAAAGAATATTTAGTTATGGAATTTGACTATTGTTTTGCTTTATAGGGAGATTTCTCGGAATATAGTAATATGTATAGGAATTGAACTTCTACTAGAAGTCAGATTCCTACGCTCCCCCTCAAGCTGGTTTGAAGATGTTGAGCAAAGTAAGCTCGGAACTCAATTATTTGAAAATCTTCCTAAGTAATGCATTGATGAAAATATTCGTAGTCTAGTGATTATTGAACGTATCACAAGAATGGTGCTCCTGACTATCTTAAATTTAACGAAGTGTTCATGAATCTCCACATGTTTAGTTTGATCGTGATGAATTGGGTTCATTGTTATGTTTATTATACATTGATTGTCACATGACACTTTTATAGGCTCTAAAGGAAGAATCTCAATTCATTCAATACCCTTTACAGCCACCTTACTTCACAAATACCATATGTTAAAACTCTAAACTCAGCCTTAGTGCTATTCATTGATACCACGTCCTACTTATTGCTTCTCTAAGTAACTAGATTTTCCCAGATGTATGTACAGTATCCAGAGGTAGATTTTCTATTAGTTATAGAACCAATCTTGTTTGCATAAGTATATATTTCAATTTCTTGGCTTATGTTTTTCATGAAAAATAGTTTTTTTCCAACTACCATTTTTAGATACTTGAGAATGCAAAATATTGTCTTCATATGTTCTTCAATTGGGTTACTCATAAATTGACATACCACATTGACGACAAAACTGATACTCGGCCTGGTATATGAGAGAGAAATTAATTTATGCACTAGATATTGGTATCTTTATTTGTCAACTAGAGTACTATCAATTCTACTTTTTAGTTTAATGCTAGGTCCTGTTGTTGTGTTTGCAGGCTTGCATCAACATTTCAGTTTCTTTTAGAAGATCTAACACATATTTTATGAGAAACTAAGATTCTTTTAATTGACTTAGCAATTTCCATTCCTAAGAAGTGTTTGGGATTTCTTAAGTTTTTAATATCAAATTCTTTAGTTAAGACATTTTTTAGTTGAATATCTCTTTTGTGTCATCTTCTGTAATTATTATATCATCTACATGACTCTTTTTTCTGAAGGATTATGCTTAACAAATATAATGTAATATGTTTGTTATTGATTATATTCAAACCTCTTTATTATCTTAGTGAATTTTTAAATTATACTTTTTGAGATTGTTTAAGTCCACAAAGAAACTTTTTGAGTTTATAGACTTTTCTGTTAGTGATTTAACTTTTAAAGTTAGATGGTATTTTTATATAGACTTATTCTCTATTTCTTCATTATGAAAAATATTGTTCACATCTAGTTAGAATAATGGCTAATCTAGATTGATAAGTAAAGACATTAATATTCGGACTGTGTTAAGCTTTGTGCTGGTGCAAGTGTTTCTTGATAATCAATTTCATCGGATTGAGTAAAATCTTTGGCTATTAATTGAGATTTGAACCTGTTGATGTTACCATCAGCATTATGTTAGATTGTGAACACTCATTTACAACCGATTGGGTGTTTCCCAAGTGGTAGTTCTGTTATTTCCCAAGACTCATTCTTTTCTAAAGCTTGGATTTCCTCCCTATGCAGTTTTTCATTTGGATACTCTCATTGTTCCATATATCGTCATTAGTATCTATATTTTGTCAATATTGCTAACAAATGTATGATTATAACAGACCTTTGTATGAAACAAAATTATGAATTGAATGATCAGTGCATACTCTTTTTTATTTTAATAGAGCAATAGGTTTATCATCATACAAATTATCAAAAGAGAGATCTGAACTTGGATTACCTGAAATATTCAAGGATGATGGATTTCAATCCAAATTGGATTCATGACTCTGATAAGGTAATTGTAGCTCTTTCTTTTCTTGGTTCTTGTGTCTTCTGGTGTACACCTAAAGTTCAGGTTTGTAGTGTAGTGAGTAGGTTCAGGTTCAGGTGTCTTATTTCGATCTATGTGTTCTGAAAATTGGATAGGTTTAATTGGAGGATGATGAAGATATTCAATAGTAGAGTCCTAAATTGAAAATTTTGTGTATTATTCTCTCCCTGAATACCAATTTTGTAGTATGGTTGGTTTTCATGTAATGTAACATTCATTGAGTGATAGAACTTTTGGGTGACTGATGAATAACACTTATATCCTTTTTGGTTTGAGGAATATCCGACAAAGATGCATTTTATTGATTTGGGATCTAGTTTGCTTCTATAATGGTTGTGTATGTGAATAAAGGTTGAACAATCGAAGACTTTGATAGTTATGGTAGATAAAAGTCAAGTGGTAGGAAAATGTTGGAGCATAACTTGGTAGAGTGTTTGAAACTCAAGGACTTGGAAATGCATTCTATTGATAAGGTAAGTTGCATTTAGAACAACATTTCTCCATAAAAAATTTGGGACTCGAGGTATGAATGTGAGAGATTAAACAACTTTCAAGAGATGTCTATTCTTCTTTCTGACTATCCTATTTTGTTGAGAAATATCAATACATGAATTTTGATGAACAATCCTTTCTTCTTCAAGATACATACCCAATTCTTTTTGTCTGTCCCAATACTTATATTTTTGTCTGGAATTGAGCTTAGATCATGTTGAATTTCTGTATATATGGTTAATTTTTTATTTTTTCCTTTTATGAGGAATACATATAAAGTTTGGATATATAAAGTTTAGGTGTCCTGATCGATAATGTGATAAC